GACACAACAGTATTTTTACTACTCAATCAACAGGCACGTACGACGGTCTAAAGGCGGGCGAATATGCGTCGAATGAAGACAACTGCAAGGCTCCTATAGAGGTTGCGCTGTTCGTATACCTGTGACAGCCACCGTGGACACAACGGATCAAATTACAGCAGGAAATTCAAAGGTCGGTAAGATAACGTTACCGTGGCCCTGTCCAACACAGCGCGTGCCTGTCTGAGGGCAAACGGATCAAAGACTGATGTACGTGCGAGTATCAGTAGAATGAAACTGACCAAGCGTGTGCCTTGTTGTAGTCTGCGCAGGCCGATTTTAATGAGGCTGTCTACACTGCGCGGGCGAAATTTTTAACAGACAATACCGATCTTATTCGATAATATTATAAAAGGTTAATACTTAATTGAGTTTCAAATGACAATTGACGCTTCATATTGATGGTAACTTTTAAAAATACCAAGGGCAGTGCTAACATAACCTCTTATCCACGGAATTCTGAGCAAAAAACGTCACGCAAAAAGAGATTTAGGATGCACAGACCACAGGGTGTTCAGAGCCTGAAATATGAGTCTTAAGACACGAAGAATCGTCCACTACCGGCCTTTCTGTGGAGAGATCCGAATAAACGCTACTTGTGTGAGGAAGAAGTTATAACATCTGAAGTCTGACTAAGGAGACTGGAGAGGGATGGACACGAAATAATTTCGCATAAAGATTGGCAAAAGCCGAAGATCTAATCGACGGTAAAAATGGGAATAAGCTTAACGCTCCAGGGATGTAGGGCTGCATAATGTCCAGCGTAAAAAACACCACTGCTCCAACTCATACGGCGTTCAGAAGATGTGTTGTGAAGCATTAACATAGCCTTCAATCACATATTTGAGCAGAACGGGCTGCTAAATAGACCGACACCAAAAGGTTAGGATTGGAAACACTCCTTAATCCGGGATTCGTATGCAACGCGTATAGCAAGTGAATTTACCACCAATTCTGGAGTCCCTAAACTGAGGAGGATTCGATGGTAGGAACTCTGTAACAGTTTTATTTCGGCGAAGAAAACGGCTGTTTACCAATAAAGAGCAAGCACGGGATACAAAAGCAGAAGCACAACCTAGAGGGTAGTTTCGCGTGAGTAGGTGCCCTGAGGACTAGCAGACCGAGTGGCACGCAACGGATACCTAAATCATCTTTTTCGGTAGATTAGGAAATAGTGACTTTTCCGGCGAACATGCAAAAATGCATCGAATCTGAGGAGCAGGCGAATAGTGAATACCGTCAGGAAGAGTTACAACGTGCCGTTAAATACGAATGCATGTGAGAAACAAGAAATGCCATTTATACGTCAAGTAAAGAACAGTCTAAGAAGCACATTGTAAAGGAACTTACGTATTGCATTATCGATTGTTATAGGAACGAATCGAAGGCGATTATACTCTAGTCCCTAGCCAATTGTTATGAAATTTTCCAAGCCCCTGCACCTGCTGTTTACGAAAGTACTCATTAAGATTGGTAGTTAGTTTCGTGCAATGGCAATGCAGCCTACCAAAGGAAGGGAGTGCAGTCAAGAAGACCTCCAAAACCGCGCATAATTTAACGTGTCTTTTGGCAAATAAGCAGCAGTTTTATTTTATCAAGGGCAGTGTCAAAAGCAGAACAATCAGTTCGCTGTGAACTAAAGTTGGCATGTATGTGCACGTTAGGCACGGATGGGCTCTCGAAAGTGGAATTAATTGTCAATAAATCTCAACTTTCGCTCCCCACCTAGCTCTTACAATGTGAACCTAAAGTGCTTATAAACAGGCCTTGTATTTGGGTAATTGTGCAATAGAAGCGAATAATTTTGCATGCCCTGTGAGCAACAATAGTGTACGCGACGACAGTAAGCTACAGGAGGAATCATGCGGGCATCTTAAAATTATCATAATTGTATACCTTTTATGGACGAATAATGGCAGTTCTTCAAATACGGGATTTAAAGAGGAAATAATCTACTATAAAACGGGTGCAAAGACTAAAGTTACTAATTTTGTCCATAAAACAGCCAAAATCTATGGTTGTTTCAAAAATAAATGAGCTAGCGATATTTTTAGAAGGCGATAACAAAGACCCCCATTAAAAGATCTGAATGTCATCATACGTGAACAGACTTGGGAGTATCCTTAACAGACAGTATTGCCGGCAATGCTGTTTGCTTAGACTTCTAGCCGCTGTGCGGCTGCTAGCGCAGATCGAGAATGTGCCCAAAGACAGAGCGGGCCGATTGAGTTCCGTTAGCGATCGGTGAACATTAATCAACGAGTGTCCGCGTCCTTACAATTAATCAGTGCTGTAACCCCAACTTGCTAGTCTTTTCCCACAGAATGCATATTGACCGTTTTTGACTAACCCTACATGAGATTGGGAGGGAGCATACTGCAAATCTGACTGAACGGTAAAAACGTTGCTGCTTTAAAAATACCCAGGTGCTCGATATGCCATAGCCAAAACTGAGAAGACAAGTGAGTGTCAATCTTTTGACGATTCAAGCAGTTTGCAGTTTCCTACCATAACCTAAAATAAAGCCCGGCTAGCGTAAACCTTACCGTACTTTCAACTTGTTCTATGAATGTAAGCAGTGTCTCACGTCAGAAGGCTGCTTATGTCATAAACGCGGCAGTTCATCAGCGTATGGTAATATACGGTATATACAATCAGTCAGCGATCTTACGCGGTTTCAATTAAAATTCTAAAATTTGCTTTAAATTAGGGCTTTGAATCCACTACAGCAAGTACATGAGAAAGGAGCAAAAATGTCAAGCAGAACAGTCCAAATGGGGTCACAACACTAGGAAAGATGGTGCACAAACATTAGGGTATCAGTTAATAACCCAAAATAAATTTACCTGCCGAGCCCTGAAAGCGTCCGATGCGGTATCGTGGGCACTAAGACCCTAAAATTAGAAAAGAACAATATAAGACCACAAAAAGGAATGCCAATACAAACGTCATAACAGTAAAAAAGAAAGTCCACAATTAATTTTCTGATCAAGCAGAGGTCGTCAAAATGAATGCTAATGAGGTTTACTTGCAAAAAGATGAGCATAACAAGTAACTCGACTAGAATGGAAAGTATGACAAAATCAGTTTAAATTGACGGTACTACAAAAGCGAAACGACGGGACACTTATGAAGGCACCAAATGGACTACACTCTAGTTAGCTCACGGCTCGTAACACCAGATATGTGCGAGGTGCTGAAACCGACAACGCCAACGACAGTTTTCCCCTTTCCATTTTCAGGGTGTGCATGACTCCAGGACGATACACAAGACAGCCGGGTGCCGAGTTGGACGTAGATGTGCTGGGTGGCCATCCACGCTGAGACGCATTTTTAAATGGTGCCGTGGATACCAGCACCCGACTGCTGTCTGCGTTTTTGATCTTGCAGAAATTTTTGATTTCTTTCACTGTGACCCCTGTTGCGGACAGTGGGGGTTAGAAAACGTACCGACAACAAGCATCGCTTTGGTTATCGTAGTCTGCGATCGCTCCGCCATCGCGAGAGTTCTGTTCCACAAAAGTCTCATCCAACTGCTCGATATCCGGTCCGGCATTGGACAAGGTTGTATTCTGTCAACCAGCCTGCCTTGCTACGTCACTGGCTCGGTTATTGGCAGACCCCTGTTTAGTTCTGACGGTGTAGAACCTGCACCCGCACGCCGGATGACTGACCTTGTATGCGCCGACGATACCGTCCTGCGAACGTCAAGCTATCGTGACCCGCAGAATATAATTTGGCCGGCGACTGAGGTCACCAAGGCTGGGAGACTGCACTTCTAGATGTTAATAGCTGTGGAGCCTCAGATAATTCGGCGCGAAATTGACAATTTGCGGACCACGGCATCGATTCGAGGGATATAGACCTGTCGAGATACCTCCATTGGTACAAAAATCTGCGTGTGCTAAGAATCTGGTTGGTCAGTGCTCCTGTTTGGTATAAAAAGCTGAGCCACACACGTAAAATATTAGCGGAAACTGGGAATGTATGACCACTTCCGAATGAAATACACCAATTTCATCTTGAATGAAACTGCCCGCACTCGCCACGCCATCAGGAGGCTACTGATAGCATCCAAGAAGGAAAATTTAGGTGGTATAGGCACGGTTTTATCGTTCGCCCCATGACTTGCTGCCCTTAATTCGGTGCTGATGCCCACCTGGAGGCGTAGAAGGGCCACTAGTTCGAAACCTGATAAACAGAGTCAGAAAGGACGTGGAGATGGTATCCGATCTCTGCCATCGGAAGTGAATTGAAATCTCAAAATTCGCAGCCGCAGATCGCCAAACGTGGAAAGGTGCAGTCCGTGATATCATGGAGGCCGGCTTGATTAGGTATTATGACGACCGCACCGACTACAAGTAGGTATTTGCTTGTCATTCCACAGGTGACCTGATATATCATATCTATGTTCTTGCCGTTTGGGACACTACTAGCGCCACCCAGTCTCCCAAAAATGATGCATTTGAAATGTGATTACTTGTTGGGACGTATCACGTCAAGTGCCTGGCAGGCGATACTAAAAGTCGCTAAATACTAGGCAGAAAGTTCTCTTTATGTACAATTCACTGCTTAGCCAATCCTACTCGCGCCAATATGGAACAATTTAGCGTCTAATAGGGCAAGTGTTAACAAATCATGCGATCATCGTGCAAAATCCTCCAGCGTTAGGAATTTCACAAACTCAGTCAATGTAACACGACTCAAAAAGGAGAAACCTACACCGACTCGCCTACCCCTAAGCCCCAGCGAGTTCCACGACAACAGTAGATGGAGTGATCCACATAGCAACTGCAAAGCAGGCCAGTCACACCTAGTTCGCCTCGATATCCAACACATTCACTTCCTGGGTCTTACCCACCCGACAGACGTCTAGCGAGACTCGAACCACCACCTTTGTCTTCAACAGCGGTGGTTACCGCCAAACAACAAGAACAGACTCACGCATCTAACTTTTAATATGGTCAGAGGTGAACTCGTTGTACACCTTCGGATACAACAGCACACTGATCACCCAAACATTCCGTTCACCAGACAAACTCGAAACACATGGTGATGAAGATAACCAACACAAAATACTACCGGCGAAAGTATGCATGCAATCAGTAGTGTACTATTTAACAGAAAAGATCATGTCCGCGTAGTTACCGGACTTATGAAGGCATTATTTACTGATTTCGCCAGCACCATACTGTGGGTCTTCTACGAATGATTGGGTTACAACTACAGTCGGTTGACAGCAGACTACCAAGCGAAGTGAAACCACTCTGCAGACGAGAAAGAGATCCTACTTGTAGTTTTTAATAGCAGCTTTGAGTAAGTTTTCCCAACTCAACTGAGGCTGAACTGGAGCTGAACTCAGACAAAATGCCTTAATGGACTAATTCATTGTCAAAATAGCACAGTAATTTTATTTGATCAATAAGAGGGAGGTAAATGACTGGTTGCATTTGCGGTAGGCAATAGTTATCCGTAAGAGAGGCGACAGAGAGAAAAGGTTTAGCATTCAACCTCTTAGTAGGCTACTTCTGGGTGGATTCTGTCTTTTAGCATTAGATTATACGGAGTTTTGGCTTGGATTGGTCTGTTGGCCGATCATACGCAGAGTTAGATGAAAGTCAAATGGACCAGGTTGAATTGATAGTCGATTATACCCTTAAATTGTGTGCTTGAAGGATATTTCAGTTCACAACTGAAAGATTTTTCCACCAACTAAATATCAGTGCCACTTCATTGCGCTTTCAGACTCACATACTGCTTTCGGATCCATCAGGGGAAATGCATGTTGTATCTCTTTAAAAGGACTCGTCGGCACTGCAAAACCATCGGCGTAATCAAGACTGGCAATACCCAGAACAGCATTCCTACTGTAATACTGGGGTGACCTGCTAATTAAAGTTGACGAACTCAGCCACTCATATAGATCAGCGAGGTTGACGAGAGAATATAGTCAAACTGCCGTTATACAGACCGATACATTTACTAAATTCTCCATCAAGACAGAAAGTCACTGGATTAACTGGGCTTTTAGCGGGGACAAAAACTAACTAACTAACGAGATTTAAATTAAAAGAGGCCTTTCTGAAATAGAGGCAAACAACTGACTAGACACATAAACTAAGAGCATGTAGGAAGTCAGTAAAACGGGATCAATAACTCACGTCGTAGGCTTTTTTTAGGGAAGTCAGACTTGACTTTAATTCGATGAAACGACTAGAAACGTCGGTTAAGAGGTCTTCTTGCGGGGTCAAATTCTGAATGCATGAAATAAATTCACTGACGCGATATAGGAACTACCAGAGCCTTCACAAGAACAAGCAGGCGGTTAAGCATGTCCTCAAAACGATCCACTTGGGTGTACATGTGCGAGAGCTGGCAAACCTGTGCCTGTGACAAACCAAAGACAAGAAACACGTTAGAGTTGAATAAGGTATAACGGAATAATGATCACAAAAAGGTTTGCATGTTTTGCCCACAGTAGAGTTATGACCACTATACTGGGAAAACAACAATTTAGTAGCGGCAACAAGAACTGGTGTATTGCTACCTCACTTCTAATTATCACCACTCAGATTCTGTTACACGAACTACTGAAAGGCACCAAGAGCATTTGCTGACATCATGTAGATCGTTAAAAAGGCAACGCGTGCTGATATGAACAAGCACGTCAAATGAAAAGTGTGTACCACCGGAAGCAGGTACCTAAGCAGAGCAAGGCCAACATTTCTGCGAACCCACTGTTTACGTGAAGCTGGCTTAGACACTCGGTTTGGAAGACATAACATGCCAGCAAGGTAGCCTAAATGAAGTCTTAACTCAAAATGCGGACCCCATAAATGAAATAATTTATAACATACGCAATTAAAAAAGCCTTGAAGAGTCATAGTACCTTAAAATGGAGTGGCCAATCGGCGGGGTCAATAACAACTGTCGCATGTTTGTCCTGCGTATCATCAGCAGCCACTTGGCTACTCCCCTGGACGGCAGATGCATTACCGACAGAAGTATCTTTCTTGCCGGCAGGTAGACTTTGGCCTTCCGTCTCATCACTGTCGGCATCAGAGTCACGTCGAGGAAGTGCTACTGGGGGAGCCGAATCTCCTGTAAAGCTAGATTGCGCAGCATCTGGCGACGCTGCGTTAAGTGAGTCAGCTTGCTGAAAAGGGGTTTTGACAGTAGGTTTAAAGCCAATTCAAACAATGATAAATAAAATTATGCGGAAAAGTGTTAATAGAATCAGAAAGGAATATAAAAGGAAGTGTGTTTCGAGATTTAAAACATGAATACGGCCGTGTGTGTGATGAAGAGAAAACAGTGTGTACGGTGGAATGTTCGGCTATGCCGATGCATTTCTTAAATCCTATGTACCAAGAGGGAGTTAAAGGCGTTTTCCTATATTTCCTTTAATAAACTTGAATTGACTTGACTAGAAGCAGCTGCTCATGCGATGAAGCGAGGAGAAATCGAGATCTTAAATAAATGTCCTGTTAACCGTTTTGCAGATGAAGGCCAACAACTTTGTGCAACTCAATGGACCAGCTCAAAAATGCCTAATCAAGCGGACGATAGATGAGCATGATCATTTTAAGAGAATATTTAGACCCGAAGAAAAGGGAAGTGACTAGAGAAAGCAATTGTGATAACAATATAATAACTTTCTGAAAATCCGCTAGTAGACTTCCATAAAACAAATCAGAGGCAGGCAGCATATGATTTTTCAGAGTATGCTACCTTTGTGAAAGCATTGGCAACGATCAAAGTGACCCGTTATGTAGTTTAGTTGTAGTACAATATGAAACAAGTATACCGTTTGAATAATGCTGACTTATAAACTGGAAAATTTATAAACTGGTTGCTAGGTAAAGGTGAAAGGTCTGTTTGTATAATAATAAAAGTAGTGTGCAAACGGCATGAGAACTTTCTGAAAAAAGTACCAATATAGACTGTTAAATTCATCACGTCAATGTCATATTCGGATTTGTTTGCTATTAACTGCGTGTTAGGACTTGACCGAAGCATGTGTCCTTAAGCTCGCTTAGTCATCCACTGATGAGCCATGTTCTTCGTCCCACCCTGTGCCTACGTGTTTTGTGTCTACCATGCACCCACGTGTTTTATCCCATGTCCTAGACCCTTGGCCTCGTTGACTGCCTTCCCATTCGTTGACACGCTGCGATCTTTATGCCTGTGTGCTCAGTCATCACTCCCGCGGTTTTTATTCCCCGCATCGTGTGCTTATCACCTTATCAACTGCCAGCAACGCTTGTGTGCCATTCACACGACTGCTTGTTTAAGCACCTCGAATGTACGTCCATCCTCCTTTTGATTTCTACCTAGCATCTTTTACCTATCGTACACTGTTAACCTTACTGTTTATTTCCATAGAACCACATAAAGAATGTCCGAATTATCTGACTGTCTTTTGACATAACTTCTGGCCTCGGGTACGCCTAATCGGGTGACGAAACTAGCATTGCATTACGAAAAGCTAACAATATCAACATAGACTAAACGGCATCTGCAAATTGTACAAACACGAAACTTCTGAGCGAAGTTCGCGTATACGATGAACAGGCAATACAGCACATATCTTTAATTTAAAAACTGGGAATAAAATAACCTAGCGAGGAATTAAAGGCAACTCCAAAAGTAGTCCAACGGTCACGTCTGTGGCGTTTAAATCTATTTCAGAAAAGCCACACCGAACTAGTAGAAGAACGTTAAGGGAAAACTAAAAAATAATAACCCACTAATGGTGTACGATTGTCATATATCCATGGGTTCACTGCATTTTGCAATTACAGGTCATAATGCTTATATTGTTAAGTTCAGGAAGAATTTTGTCCATAAAGTAGGGTTGTGCTGAACCACGTTGCTGAAATGGACGTCCTAATTGTTTAAAGAAATATTGGTTGATCCACTAAGATTTTTAGACAGACGTATGATGTGTTAGAACGTACAAAACGAACCAAATGGGAATGTCTAATTTCTCCAACCGCCTCAAGGCAGCATTTACGAGAACAGGAAATTGCATTAAATTAGCCATTGAAGTTTTTTGAAAAGTCAGGATAATTGGAAGTTCAATAAAAATCCTCAGAAGGAGATAACGAATCAAATAACCTTGAAATGTAACTTACAAAACACAATTGCAACATTCGCTGCCACTATACGTGAGTAGTCTACTTAAGCAGACAGACGGAACAGGATGCCAGGCTGAGATGCGATGGATAATAAAAGTCACAATCTCAGTCGACTTCCGTAGCGGCTTTCCACTTCAGTTTATCGACTTCAAACACAAACCAGTCTTGAGCGTCTCATTACTTTGTATAAATACTGACTAAATACCGAATGTACAGCTGTTAGTACGTCGGTGCAACTTACCCTGCCAGCACAGGCGATGGGGATAAACGGGGGACACCCCGGCCTAAACGGGATGAAAATTGTGATTAAATGAATTATATTGAGAGAACGCATTTATAAAAATCTAATTTTTTATCAATAAATTATTAATAACTTTATTCTTTAACATACTTATCAATT